TTCATTTTCAAAGAGTAAATTTGTTTACAATGAAGAAGTTCACAAACTTTTGAAACAATATCTGGTTTCAAAGTTCATTCAGGCACATTTAAACATTTAATGCTTCAATAAAGGTACAGTTGACTATAATTCTTAACAAAAATGTGTTTCAGTACTGTCAAAAAATCTGAAGTTCTTATCACTGAAAATATATTTTATTTAATACCTATAAGAATAATTTCGTTCGCACAATTTTACCAGCAACATATCTCTTATAAATAATTATATTGACAACAGTTATAGTGATGACATTAGAGACCTGCCTGCAGCAGATTTAACAGATTTTTAACTCTTCCAATGACTAGAGCACAGATTAAATATTTTAGCAAAAGTGATAGTTGTGATAACATATGATAAGTATAATAGAAGTATATGGATAAAAGAATAATTGAGTTGACTTTAATTGCCATTTGATAGCTAGAATGCTCTCTTAAAAAGAAATAAATACACATACATTTAACCGCATTACTATTACGTGAAAACATGTATTTAAGAAATTTCTAAATGTTAGAACTTTTAAACGCTGTAGGAAATCCAAACATGACTAATATGTTTGCCCTGTTTTTTCATTTATTTTTCGTGTTTGAACATTTTGACGTGTAATGCAAGAATAGTTTTTTTTACTGCTCCAGGAAATAATTTAATGTTTTCCTTCCCAGCGATAGATTATACTTTGAGAAAGCAAATGTTTTAACTGATAATTAAGCATCATATTTTAAAAGACGTCGGCCTTACTTTTTTGTCCTACTGTTGCATTGATTCGTAAATGCTTAAAACTAATAACGTTATATAAGTGCCACACATATTAGAACAATTTCGGAAAATAAAGGTTAAGGTCGTGTAAAAAAGTTATTAGTCAAATACAAATGATCCTGAAATACAATTCCAGGAGATTTTTTTAAATAATTAGTTTTTTCTACCACAGACATGAAAAAGAATGTTATACGGGAAGAGTAAATCAATATAAAACGCTTTTTATGTGAAATTCAGCACATCAGTTATCATCGTTGGTATTTCAATTTTAAAGTAGTAACTTGCATAACAGCTGTATCCGCTCTTTTATGTTTTCAAATATTACTATTTAACATTGTAATTTTAAACTGAAGGAAATGGAAATGTCCATGTTGTACCATTGCTTCAAGTATAGAGCCGGTTATTAATAATTCGCATCATGATATCACAAAACAATAATAAAAGAAGAAAAAGACTACAGTGTTGGCTAAATAAATTATCTATTGTCATCTTGAAATCACAAAACATTAATAAACGAAAGTTCAAGAAAAGGACACTGGATGTGGCCATTTATAATTTAGAAAATAAAGTGCTATGTTATTCTCGTTTTGTTTTAATGTCCAAAATACAACTTTATCTTTAAACAATATTCTTGTTCCAGAAATGAGCATTTATCACATGTATGAACTCGAAACAATTGCCAATAGATACAAAATACTTGCATAGAAACACAAAGAAATTAATAATCATACAATGATACAAACTTAAGATGAGTTAATTATAACCTAAAAGTATCGTTTAAATTTCCTACTAAATCGGTTCATATAAACACATTTTATGTAAAGTTAAATTTTACGTAATTTTGCATCTTAGACAGACAAAGCGCTAGTTTTTAGTTAACTGGGGAGACTTATTTCACACCGAAATGAACTTTCAGCGTTTTCACTACGAGATGTTGAAATAGAAATAATTATTGGATCCAATGTCAATATCAAATTCATAATACACCCAATATAGCCACTTACGTTTTCATCTTATAAGTAATTTGACCTTTGTTAAGGACATATAACGTCTACTGAGACATTAAGACAGTACAATGCTTGCTCAGCTTTCTTTTGTACCAGCTGAGCTGCTTCCGTGACATTAAATTGAACGATAAAAATAAGTTACAACCAAGACAATTAATCCCACTAGAATTAAATATCTTAAGTGAATAATGCATCGGCAAAAAGCTTTTAATTCTCTCAAGTTTCGACCGATCATTTTTGTTTTAACAAGTCGCTTTTTGCAATTTCATCGGAAATATCTTCTAATGAGAATATTGAAGTGAAATGTTTGGTTAAACAATAAAAAAATTATTGTAAAATAACGCTGATACATACTAAATTAGAATAACCATTATCACAACTTTTTATTATGAAAAATTAGCATAATTATTTTAAAAAAGAAATATTATAGTATTCAACTAGAAATTAAAGTAAAATCATATTTCATCTAAAACATCTTAAACAGGTTAAGGTAAAAGTTAATTTCATTTTAAAATTTGACTCAAATTCTGTTATTTTTTATGTACGTATACAAATAATTACCATTTGCAGCACTGAGATGTGGTTACTTTTCTTTAAGAATTGGTGAAAACTTATAAATTTGTCGTTACATAATGAACTAAAATTAATCAATAAAAATATAAAAAAAAATCAAATTTAATTTACAAAGGCATCTGCTCAAAGCTGTAAACATAAGCATCTATGCTCATACAGACATTTCACTCATCATCCATTTTGAAAACACGTTTTGCGCCACAATAACAATGCATTGCGCTCCAAAGTAATTGAGTTACAACATTTAGTGATAAGAAATACTTATGGCTTGCTGCCATATTGTCAACAACAATTAAACAAAAGTTATTACATATTGTGGGATAGTCTACACAATACAACATTGAACTGCATGTTTATAATACTTCTTAATATAAGTTCATGACACATTACTAAATACACACATACGTACATTACACATACGGAAAAAATCGTGAAAAATATAGACACAATAAAGAAATCAAGTCGCTGATTTAATTATACTTTTAAGTGAAATCAACAAGTCGGCGGAAAATAATATTTAATAACAAACGAAATGTTCAAGTAAAAGTAGGTTAACGTCAATAATAACTTTTTAAGCCCTTGTTTCATGTCATATCTAATTGATTATGTCAATCAATCAGTGGCAGCTAAAAAATTGTCAGAATAACACAAAAGCATTAAATGATACATACACCAATCTTTTTAACCATAAGTAAATATTCGATACGATCTTAATGATGATGAAATATTCAATGTAATACATTCGTCTTGGTGTCTCTTATTGTGTCATCAAGTAACACTTTTACTAGTTATTCAATGGAAAATAATAGCGTGTGGTGTTTGTAGGTGTAAAATAATTAAATTCAATCAAGTACAAATAATCCAACACTTCCATGCCTTTTCAGAAAAAAGGGCGAATGGTACAAAGTCAAGTTTTGAAACTAAAAACTTTCTACAGTAGAAAAAAATATGACGGCAATTGTCAATATGAAAACGAAATCAATTTTGCGTCTTTCTAGCGTTTGCTAATTGTAATAAATTCTGACAAAACACAAGCTGTAAAACATCAAAACACACACAAAAATAAGAACAAATAATTCATATCCGCGTAAACCTCATGTAGGTGTTTAACATCTGATCGTTTGAAATTGCTTAAGAAATATATCGTTCAAAAGCGCTACGCTCGAGCCAGTAACCTTAAAATGTTTTTATCAGCACTAAAATTACTGATGCTCAAAGTGTTTAATACATACAATAGCTTAAAGCTGAAATCAATGCTACTGACGTTTTAGATTTTTTATTGCATTAAAATTTTAGACGTAAAATGTATGGCTACGATTGTCTAAGACATCCAACATGTAAAAACCTGTTCTCATAAAAATCAGACATCAAGCTAAACGATTTGAAACTTCAATTCGTCTGATAAATGCTAGCAACCATTTAAATATTGTCCCAGAGAGAAATAGATTGTTGTACTTTGAATATTTATAGTCCAGTAAACCTGATAAAGCATGGAATTTATTCATTAAATCTTACCGTTGCATAAACATCAGACTGCTCTCTCCAAATATCAATATCTTTAAATACCACATGCAACATTTTGATAGTGCGATATTACGTGAAGATTTTATTACCAAAGGCCAAGTCCCTTTTCCATTTCAACGGAAGGAAAGTAGTTCAGACTGCCGATGGTTTGCATTTAATCAAGCATAATGTAAGAACGGATATGTGTATGTAACCGGACTTTTGTGAAGAAAATGTTACAATTTACAAATATACTATACTCATCTTAGGAAAATATACCTTTATTGCAGAAATTTATTGAATTCTTGGAATTTATTACGAGATATATCTAACATAGAAAATTATGCTCATACTATGCTTCGGAATGCTGCATTCCTTATAAGTGGTCAAGTTAAAGTGGTCCTTTCTTAAAAATACCGGTTTTTTTAAAGACACTCTGTATTTTCATTGTGTTTATCTATAACGTAACAGTTCTTTTTATGTGTACCAAAATGAAATCTGTTACATTTAAAGACAACATGTATAACAATTATAAATACCCTTTTTTAAATATCGAATTGGAGCATTATATACCTTACCTTAGTCTTTAACGTGGATTATATACCATAATTATATTCAAATGTCTTTGAATAATTTATACATATACATATAAAACATTATTGTTATAAACATAACACATAGATTTAATTTTAAGACAAGTGCATATAACGTGTCCTTATAAAAATTCACACTTTCTAAGAGCTTTATTCTATAAAAGCAAAGGAGGTATACAGCATTATGGTTTATAACTCTTCCTGATAGAACCCAAAGTGACTTTCCTTTGCCATGAATAGAATATGAAATTTGAAAAACATGACCAGCAATTAAGGGCGGCATTCAATGCCCAACACAACCCAACAACACATGACCACCGCCAGGAGCCCAGCGGGATACCAAACAGGAGCTAGCCGGCACACCTGTGTATTCTGAACAGGCCCTAAAATACTGTTGGCAGCTCAAATTTTGTATTTAGATATTACAATACATTACATTTTGAATAGTTTTTTCTAAATCACAAGCTGGGTAAAAACATTTTATAAATTAAGTAACTTACAGTGTTAAAAAAGGAGAGCATATTTTACTTACCAAATGAGAGCTATACATTAGAGGATCTGTCTGAAACTCTGTAGAATATAATACTGTATAATTATATCTGCTACCACTAGGCAAGAATGGCGACCATGTTAGATTTATACTCGTGTCATCGACAAATGTAACTGATAAGTTGTATTTACCTGAAAAATATAAGAACAATATCTACAATAAGTTGTTAGAATAATATCTACTATAACTTGTTTTACATGAAATATGTAAGAATAATATCTACTATAACTTGTTTTACATGAAATATGTAAGAATAATATCTACAATATGTTGCGGTTTTACATGAAATATATAAAAATAGTATCTACAATTACTTGTAGAATATGTGTTTAAGAACATTCTATATCTGTTTAATTTATGTTTCATACACAATTACGTATTTTGCTTTACTATTCTTATTGCATTGATCCTTTACTTAAATCAAAGTCAGCTTAAAATGAAATGTTTTATTTGTAATTGCTATTAAGTTCTGCATGTCTAAAGGAATGTGTTTACTTCGAATTCCATAGCAACGGTTTGATAATGGAATAGCCATCATAGATTTTATTTTCTTTATATGAATATTGTTGATAAATCTAAATCATAAAATGTTTTTGGAGGAAATTTTTTTAATCTGTAAAAATCTGAAATTTATCTTAAGATTTTGTTCCGATTTTTGTATAATGGATTACGTAGAATATAAACAATTTGTTTACCAGGTAAAATAATTACGTGCCATTTTGGTTAAACAGCAGGCTTGCTTGAGCAATTCTGATAATTCCTGACAGTTTTACAACTTTTCGAATGAAATGAAACCTTATCTCACAATTGCTAACTAATCCGCAAGCTCAGATTTGAATGCAGTGAGATTATCATTATATAACAAATGTTTACTTGCGGCGCAATAAATGTCCATTAAACAAAGATGATTCCAATTTTCTTCTGCAAAAGTATCATAATTATTCAACCATTTCATTATACCAAAAATAAAAAAAAAACGTTCATGCAACTTTACTTTGAAATATTCCATGCGATAAATCGTAACTGTAGTGATAGTTTGAAAATGTCCAAAAATGTGGAAAATATCTTGGAATATAATTGAGGTTTTTCAATTACATTTCGCATAATATATACACACAGATTTGTTTCCTTTACTATTCTTTAATTGGCTTAATATGTTATGTTAAAATGATAGAGTTAGAAGCTTTTTCTACGGCAGTTTTCGACAGCCCTCGTATTTAAAAGCATTTCAGAGATGACTATTCCCAGATTTCAAAGGTCACCTTTGAACTTACTACACACAAGTAAACTTTAGAAAAACATATATCTGAAGCCGTTAATGAGTCTTGCCGGCCCCAGGAAATACCACTATTTGTCTCGGTTAGATACATACCATTCTTTTTTGTAAAACCCGCGCAAACTATTTCAGAGAACTACTTCAATTTGGTTATATCGTGTCTTAGAAATAACAAAAATAAGGCCTAGTTAGAATCTAAAACTACATCGAAACACTCACATGTAAAGGTATGGAATAAACATGAAGAGAAATTTCAATGATTCATTTTGTTTGTCAACAAAACCCTGCTAAACTGATTTTTTAATGAAGGTTAACTTTGGGATAAGTTATAAATTCGGTCATAGCGATTCTATCATATTCACTACACGAAAAATATGGCGTATAATATATCCTCTTACAATTTATTTTTTGTACACTGAACAAGCGTTTTACTCCAGCCACATTATTTTAACAATTATCATCAACAATGCTCAATACTAGTCAACCCATCAAGAATGTAAATCAATAAAGAGTTACAAAGCAGTTTTATTTAAAAAAGTCATTCAACAACAAGAAAAACATTCTGTAAATTGACTAAACATTGAATGACATATTATCTTTGCGCCATATGAGCTCGAAGTTAGAATCATGGGATTAAAAGATTTGAACATTTGCCATTTTTGAAATCCTTTTTATAATATTTTGATTTAAATTATAATTTGAAGTAAACATTTTAAAAACAAACAGACATTCACGTGTATTTCTAAAGTATAAAATCGGCTTTTAAAGTAGAAAGAATATTTGGAGTAAAGCTTATTGAAAGGAAACTAACGTATATAACAATGTTATACTCTCTACCGCTAGATTTTTATTTTATTATGTAATTAATGCTAATGCATAAATTGGCAGGATCATTTGAATAACGTCCAACTATAACGTCTGTATTGTTAAAGATAGAAAGCGAAGGAACTAGTTTATACAACCAGGTGTTCATAACAGTTCAGTTAAAGTACAATAAAGTCGGCTAGAATATCATTAATAATATATTCTTCAAACGAAATTAATCGTTTAATGTTTAACCTTGCTAATAATAATGAAGTGTTTCCAGAAGTATATCCAATTTCAGTTTCATTGTAAAATCTGCGCAGGGCCAAAATCATGTACAGTAAATATTTAGTCAGATTTTGCTTTAAAATCGATTGGAAAATAATGTATCCTTTCTTTTAATAAGATTGGTAAAATCATTTAACAGCAACTTTACTTTCGTACCTCTGTAAACATTATTATTAAAGTCGACCCTATCATGAAAATAATAGTACTTCCTCGGCAGATAAATAGATCAAACTGCATAGTCTATTGTTCCTATTTGAAAAAAAAATTCTTTAATTAAGTGTTTATAAATTTTTTTGTCTTCTTCATGAGACCTGTTTCAGAGAACTATTCTAACGGTCCATTATTCAAATTCATTAATGATTAATTTACTTTATAAGCGTGTTTTGATGAAAAAGGATTACTGTATTTTCAGAAGTCTCTTTTAATTTAAGTAAGAAAAAATAAACATTATCATGATCTTGTTTTCAATCAGTAAATGAGGTTTGACATTTCAAAGTAATGACTGAATCGCAAGGACCCTTGGCAAAGATATATTGGTTTTAAACCATAAAATGACGACTCGTAAAGAAACTGTCAGTTATAGAATTTCTATCTTTTTTTCCCCAAGAAAATAAAAAATTTAAAACGTTTCAACTTCTGTTTAATATTCTTTCAAATTCGCATTTCGATTAATATATAAAAAATTTAGGGGACAATTTTTACACTTCTAAAAAAGTTCAAATGGCTATATAATTTATTTTTTTGTTGATTACTGAGCCGAAAATAACTTTAATAAACCCATTTTAAATTTTTCACTTAAAATGGATATTTCCTAGAAATTTATTGTACTAAATGACACAGTTCATACATACACAATTTTGTTTATTTACTTAAGAATTTATCTAAAATAAGAAATTTAAAAGAACGTACAGAAATTGGACGTGCAAGATGTGTAATGACATAATGCTAGTAACTTCTATATCACATTAAAGAGGAATCTTTGCTTATTGAAAGACAAAGCTGTTTATGTAGCATAAGAGATAGTTCATGGTTGTGGTTTGGTTAAGGTTAATACATTTTTATTATGGTACAGTACACTGTATTAGACCTGAAATTCATATTATTGCGATTTTTTTACCTGAAACAAATTGTTTGATAATAATTTGTTAAATACTTTATACACTATATCTATCAAACGTGCTTTTGATGTTAATTCGCAACGATATTCCGATATTTCTAATATTTTACTTGATGTGGTTCAAATTGCTGACCGTTGTTTCATTAACATGATTTACAAAATAAAACATATATATTTGCAAATAATTTGTAAATGGTCTAAATCCTGCTGGATCTGATATGGAAAAGGTCTGCAAACTATGATACTATTTTTGATCATATCGTTTACAAAAATTGGAATGACAAATATTTAGATATTACATTTTTTTGAACATTTCTTAATATTGAAGAGGTTTGCAAACTGTGATATTGTTTTTGATTATACCGCTTACACAAATTTGAATGGCAAATGTTTAGTTCTTTCACTTTTTTGTCACTGAATTATAAAAACACTTAGTTACAATGAAACACAGTACCGTTAAATCATGATTTTTATCATCTCATGTACTGTTAACATTGTACAAAAACTTTAAAAATCTTATAAATTAACACCGAAAACTTATAAAGAAACTGTACTTTATAATGATTCAACAAATAGCGAAAGAACGAATCATACATTTATCAAAGACATTCTTCTTAATCACGATAAACAAATGCAGATCCGAACGAAAAATAAACACATTCCTAGCATAGAAACAAATTGAAATATATTACATCATGCTAATTAAATAAGTGTAAAAGTGGCAAAAAACAATGAAAGTAGGACTGAATCATCATAAAAATTAACACGGTATATTAGAACAACTTGTCTATTGCAATTGTAAGATATGACCATATTCCATTTCTCATTCGATTTGGGCCCGACTTGAATCATTGCTCTTTCGGGTGATATGTCATTCCTCGTAGAAAAAAAATCATGTTTCTGTTTTATTCATTTAATTTTAGTTTTTGAATAGGCAATGTATAAGAAAATGAATGCTTGCGCAAAAATACCAGAAATGAATAAGTTAAAATGAAAATAATAAAATAAAAATCGTTTGAATGTCTTTTTTAATTTTTTTGAGATCGTTTCCCTTTAAACATTTCGAACGCTTATCAGGCTTGATTATGGTGTATCATTAATTAATAATTTTAACGTTTTCTTTATTTATAATGTGTGAATTAAATTGGTCAGGTAAAAAATTATGGGAGATGTCTGCATCAGTTAACTATCATAACTGATTAAAAAATGCTGATTTAAATGATTTACCTAAATATTGTTTTCTGTTTATTAAGTTTAATGATTTTGATTAATTTGTTAATTTTTATGCTTAATGTATCATTTATCCACGTTTATTTCATCAAAATTTCATTTAGTTGTATAAAAACAAAAACATTATTGTTTCTGTTTATTTTCATTTTAAGACTATTTAATTCGTATTAATTGTATAAAATGTAAAGAAGTTTTGAATATATAAAAATGTGAGAAATGCATAATTTCACTTGATAGATATTTTGATTCCATGAGTAATTTCAAGCTTGTTTCATTTTTGAAATTTACTTGATATCAAATTTTGAAAAGCTTAACACATTATGTTTCAAACTGAAGTCAAATCGAGTATCATACTCATGCTGGTGATATATCATGACAATTATGTACAATTGTTAAACTGAAAATAAAAAAAAAAA